GTTTTGCCTGTTCCTCCAACTCTAAGCCACTTCAGGTGATGCTTGCCTGTACCACTTGCAATGGCCCCGAGAGCAAAAACGATAGAATGCTAAATGCTAGGCACTATGCTAGGCCTGCTATGCTTGATTATGCCTCCAGCAGGATCTGACAATTATTAAGTATGTCGCATCCTTTTTGGAGCATTTACCAGGATGATCGAAACGGCAAAAATCATGTTGTTTCAAACATATGCCTTCACCACATCATTTCCCAAAAGCAGCGTCTTGCATGGTGACAAGAAGGAAGCCGCCAAACCTTGTGGTGACCATGGGGCACCTAAATCATATCCAAATAAGCATCCAAATGATTGACGTCTTCCCGGCACAGTTTTGCAACAACCCTTGAATCGGCATGTGTGTTCTATTAATTTGGTGCGCTTTCATTGTTTTGTTCACTAGAGAACTGACAGTCCGATGCCCCTGGCATCCAGGTATATCCAGGTCTTGAGGTACATCAAGCGCTCCTGACCCTGGAGGGCCGACCAAGATCCAAAGATCTCTTGAGAAGAGTACTGCCTCAAGCCGTCACGGTGCATGACCAATGAGTGACTTGAAGTTAGTCCCGAAGAGGACCATTACAATAGCTCATTCATGTCAGGTCAAAGCAAGCTACCCTCCCTGAAACAGCCATGGAAGTGGAACAGCTTCGGGCCCTCAAACATGGTTTTCCTCTGCAGTCTGGGGTTCTGCCCAGCTTGAAAAGGATCTGAGGCAAGCTGCTCATGGCCATTGCTTGAGATCTTCCAGCCAGATGTATCCTTGTTATAGTAGAGGTCGATGAGGCCCGCCTGGTTTCCATCAGTGGCAGCCTTCAACCTCGTCGTGACCGGACAGAAAGTTGGGGCGACACACGTTGTCATCCCGAAAGCAAGCAGAATCAACGGAGGCAACAAAAGGAAAAAAATGCATCCTTTGGTTGACCACCAAATGAACAGAATAGGCATGCATTTAATATGATATAATGGACATGGACTTGTTGACCTTTGGGATTCAGCTTTGCAAAAGCATGACGGCATGACTCTCCCGTGGCGAAACGGCGGAAATGGCGGAAAACATCGAACACATGGCCAAACGCTGGAGCTTCGCGTAGAATGTACAAGTATCATCAAGTAACATATCCCAGACACTCCATGTATGCCATATATGCCTACATTAACCCCTCAAACCACCCCAATGTAGGCATATATGGCATACATGGAGTGTCTGGGTATTAAAAACTGAAAACTGCGCGATTGACGAAGAAACATGTAGTACTCCTTTGCAGGATCAACCCAGGTGTGGGCAGCATTAGGCACCGACGGTTGATACTCGCCGTTCACGGCCGCCGTCCCAGCGCCGGTCACGTAGACAGGACTGCGACTGACCTGGGGTGGAGGCTCCTGGCAATGATGTCATTAAAAGAGATCCGGAATTGCAAAGGACGTCTTGGCACACCCCAACAAACATAGCGCTAGACACTATATAGATTTATATAATTACATATTACAGTATAGCATCTATAACATCTGAGATACCAAATGGCTTGCAATGTGTGAAGTAGCAACTGAGAATCTAAACAAAAACCCTGCGTTGTGAAAAAGACAAGGACTGAGCTGTTGTCTTTTTAAAGGGGTCGTGTTCCAGTTCGTTTGACGAGTTGGAATGTCTGTGCGACTACCCACAAAATCGAAGAACAACCGCAGCCAATCCAGGTGTGATGGGGACTTCCAAGAATTGGCCCCAGTCTTTCTCGGGCCTATGATCAGTGCACCCCTTTCTTTGGAATCCGAACACAAACGTGTTGGTTTCGTGATGAGTCTCCTTTTTGGCTTTGGTTTTGTGATGTTTTGCCATTAGTCTCCCGGTATATATCCCCCTCTTCCTTGGAATACTTTCCAAGAATGGCACCGCTGCTCCTGTCCATTGTTGGCGACCGACCAAGTGGCAAAGATCCCAGAGGAGGAGTACTGCCTGAGACAGGGCATGTTGGACGTGACCCAGCGATAGGATTAGAATGGATTAGACATTGCGATGGTGGTGAGTGGTTCAGCCTAGGGCCCAGACCACAAAAACATACAAAGCCCGTGCCTAATAAACGAGTCTGCGCATTCTTGGGGATGGCTTTTCTGGGTCAAGAGGTTACATCGGAAAGCTTTAAAGCTACGGTCACAATTCCTTCCCGGTCCTGATACCCAAATGCAAAACAAAATCAATCACTTCCTGGAAAAAGGTCAAGCGCTTCACGCTTCACACGACCGGGCAAGCTACTCATGGCCATTGAGCGAAATCTTCCATGCAGATGTATCCTTGTTGTAGTAGAGGTCGATGAGACAAGCTTGGCTCCCATCAGTAGCCTCCCTCAACCTCAGTGATGACAACCAGCTCATACAAGGAGGCACTGCCACCAAAAGAAGAGTGAATATATCTTGACATATGTTTGACCAACATAGACTCCAAAGCCACGTGCATTCTCCGATCCAATTTTGATCTCTGGAGTAGAGCCAGTTTCTGTCAAAATGTGCGGAAACACAACAGGTGTACCATATTTGGACGAAACTTCTACGGACGATTCGATCTACGATACATACGGACGGCATTGGCATCGACAGGCCAAAAGGTCAGGGGCGAAAGCAGGTTTAGGGGAAGGTCAGGGGAGTTAGTCCTACTGTAGCGGCAAGCAGCGGCGGTTTTTCCTGAGGAACAACCATTCAACCAAAATGAACCTAAGCAACTCGCACGATCCTTGGGTTGTACTTAAAGGCACTGTGATTCTTCAGGCTTGTCGGGATCATAGCAGCTACGCCTTCCTTCACTTTCTAGCCACGGCTCAGTGCGTGTCAACAACATAGAAGCACACAGAAGACGATGAAGAAGGAGCAAGCAACACAAATAGCAAGACAACGGAGGAGTTGTAACTTTGCTCACAACAATTGTCAAAATTCAGAGCATATAAATACTGAAAGCCTTGATGATCGGCAATGTTGGCCTGCAGGAGTTGTAAACTCATGCCATGCAGGATTCCGCACGATTCGGCACACAAAAGGGTACCTGAAACAAGCAAAGACACACATCAGAAACACAAAGAAACAACATCCAACATGAACATGTGTGAGAGACAAAAAATTACAGTATCTGACTCTGAGCAACACATAGTAATCTAAGCCGGTCTCTACCCAGCTGTGGGCAGGGTTGGCTGCAGCCAGGAAGTAAATGCCATTCACAGCGTCCGTCCCCGCGCCAGTCACAGAGATGCTTTGTGTAGTGCCATGGCCATCAGTTGGTCCTCAGCGCGGCCGAACGGCCACGGTCTGCACGGGTGCAGCGGTTCGGTGTGAAACCGGGCCAAATGGTTCAGTCAAGGGAATGAGTAAGCGCTCTTTTTCTGGTGTGCTTATAGTGGAACTAAAGGACACAAACAAGAAACATCATCAAAAAACAAAACAATCTACCATGATCTACCAAAGCCGTGTTGCTATTTGTCGTGCAGTCATGTCGACACACGTGCAAATTTATTCCATAAAGTTAAATAAACTATATAGTAATTATTGCCTTCTGAAACATCTCATTCAAACCACGGCGTTCACACAACACAAACAGTCCATCCAACAGTTCCTCCGGTGCGGACCGGGGGATCTGGCTGAACGTGGACGTCCTGGCTGAAGGGATCTGAACATGGAACAGTCGAAGGCACGGAAGGCAAAACCATGTGTTCTGTTCACTATGTCATTCTATCTCATCATCCACCACAAGGCAAATCTTCTTGCAACTGGAAGTCCGTCGGCTGAAACGAACGCACAGGGCAACAGCAGTAAAAGCCAGGTGAACATAGCGCGGCCCAGGCGGGGCTGCAGCGTCAACCGGCGCAGTTGTGAGACCGCTGAGCCAATGGGCTGAGCTGTAGGATTTCTGTGGGTTGAGCCAAACACATCCAAAAACAAGCACCAAGCGCTCCCAAGTTTTGCAGTCAAGTAAGGATATTGAATGACAGGAAAAAGCAGAAATCGGGGCGGTGGGGGGGGCCCACGGAATTCCAACAACCTGCGTAAACGCAGCGATGCCCCAATTTGTTGTCTCTCTGGAGGTCATTTCACTATGTTAGGGACAGATTGATGATACTTATAGATTATGGCAGTAGGTGCCCATTCGGGATCGCCACTCTCCCAACAAGTCCCAGCTCCGAACAACATATCTTCTTACTGAAGGAGAAGTGCGCTCCTTGAAATAATCATGGAAGTGGACAACCGCCGACAACCACCTCTGTGGTATTCGGAACATGGTTGTCCGAAATCGGGGCCATCCGCTTCCACCATGCTTCTGACAGGGAGTCTAAAACAACTTCCACGGATCGAACATGATCCAACGACTTCCCGGCGCTGCCATGGTTTGGATCATTCTCGAAGGGTTAATACATATAATGGCGCATCCTTCAGATCAAACTTCCAGCAGGAAAATACTGGTCTAAAACATCGAATCTAATCTAATCAAACATGTTTGGCGCTGCGCCTGGTTTGGCACGAACATGAAAACGATGAAAAACGAACATCCCAGGAAGCTCTATAGGTATACTTCAGCCCGACCTCATAGACTTTCTGCCAACTCCCAATCTCACCATATCTCACCTGCCACCCCAAGACCAGGGATCCTCCTAATTCTGTGCTAGTTGAAGTGCTATGGCATATCTGGATGCCTCAAGCCCAAAAAATGAAACAAACGTTGGTTCCAAAGCATTCGATTGCAAAAAACTTCACTTTGGGCTGGTCTAAGGCTATCTAGCTTTTGGGGAGCAAAGCTGGCAATAATGATTCATCCATATTCATCCCTTCATATCCCTTCCATGCAAGTGTTGACTGGCATACTGGCATGCCACAGTGTCCATCAGGATTCCAATCAGAAAACCGCCTACTTCACACCCAACATCTGGCCCGACGGTCTCATCACCCGGCCGACCGGTCCATCCTGTCAGACCGCCTCGCCGACCGCGCCTCGCACTTGGCGCTCAGCTGGCCGTTGAAGATGTTCTCCGAGATGCAGCAGCGTTCCCAGGCGTCTCCGTCGTTGTAGTGTAGGAAGACCAAATCCTCCGCGATGCCGTCTTCTCGCGCTCGGTCGGTGGAGTGGAGCGGTCCAGTGTTGGTCGTCCTTGTTCTGTAAGATCGCTCCTGCTTCATTAAGTAGGCGCCTACCCAATTAAGTAAGGGAATCAGCTACTAGCTACTTAAGCTACTACCTACTGGGCGCAGGATAGCTCACGCTTCTTCAAGGAAGCTCCCCCCGCGTGAGGGCGGAGGGGAGATTCCTTGAAGCGCTCGCACTGATCATTTGCATCCAGATGTTTAGGGAAACTTAACTGGTCGGTCCATTTGCGTCTATTATAGGCTAGGGAGGAAGAACCAAATATATGGTACTTACTTTGTAGGTGAGTGCAAGGTGCGAAGCCAAGACGGTGGATTGGGATCAGGATGGATCAGGTGAAAGGCAGCCTCTCTAGTTCATCACAAGACTGGTCCTGCAGTGGGCAAAACATGACGCTCGGTTGCAAGCTCTTCTTCTCCTTGGAGTTGCTCAAGGCGCTCAAAGCAGGCAATGGTATATACCGTTCTATTGTAGAAGACAACCCGCCCGGCAAACAATATAAAGACAAAGGAACAATTAGGACACATTGGTGGAAAAGACGAGCAGAACTTCAAGCCATGCCATGCGTCCAACGCCTTCAGAATCCGTCGGCACTCCTCTGGATGCGGGCGGCAATTCCGTGCTGCTCCACCATCCACTAAGGAGGGCATCCAGTTCCTGGGCCATTGGCGCCGTCCCCCAGTCCCCCGACCCGCTGATGATGGTGGAACCACCCACACATCCGGTGGTGGAACACCCACCACGAAGGCCGGAAGTGCAGAAGTTGCGGCACCGTCCTGACTCCCGGTCGGAACAGCCATCGACAGATCCAAATGCTCCAACGACTCTCCTCCTCAAAGCCATCTTAAAGGGATTCAGTTTCGGTGAGTCATTTGAGCAAGTGAATTCGCTATCCTCTGACAAAAGGGAGTGTCTGAAACTGTTAGAATCCTCCAAGGGAACTCCCAAGGCACAGCATGGCACCAAAAACAAGAGCTGACTGGAGTAGGTGGATCCCGGTTTCGAGCTTCAACCATCTCCTCAGAAAGTATGAACTACCAAGCTGAAACATTCCCAGTCCCACCAAAGGGTATGTGGAAAGTAATAAGGGCTACCAGCCCTGAGAAAACCCTGTTTCACAACTTGGCAGCCCATGGCAGCCCTGTAAGCTCCAACGGGGGACCGCACCGATACATGATCCATTGATTTGAAACTTGCTTCACCTGTCCTGTTCTACCTGCTTTGACCAAGCATCAAAGAGCACTTGCTCGGTGGAGCCCAGCTTGGCACTCCAGGCTCATACTGAGGCATCCCAAGCGACCCAGCGGTACAGTCGATGTAGAACCCTGTGGGCCCCATGGCGATCGGTCTGCGATCTGGTCGTGGGTGCCAAAAGGGCTGCTCAGGCTGCAGAGCCGGCTGGATCGGGTTAGGTACTCGCCATCTATGATGGCCCACATGAGGGTCGGAAAAGGGTTTGCAAGTTTGCATGCTCTTGGAGTGAAGGGCTTCAAAGGATCTAGAGTAGGCATGCTGCACAAGTGGAAGCAGGCTACTACCTGTGAGGGCAAGCTTTGTGCCCAGTTTTACCATTTGAGCCCTAGTTTTGCAGGTAGCTGAGGCAGGTGGGTACTGAAAATCGTCCAAGGCGCTTTGGAAACTCCGAGCTCAAAACTTCTGACTTCTGTCTCCTCTTGTTTCGCGGTCTGGGCGACACAGAAAAACCTGAGGTCTCTACGATGAATTCGCCTCAGGAAGGCGAAGGCGAAGCCCACTCCAGTGTTTAAAGCCGGATGTTTGGACCAACAAGACTGCTGTGCTATAAATACATGTCTGTTCTATACTGACTGCACGTGTTTAAGCCAGTCACTTCAAGACATCCCGGCGTTCGCTCTGCACCGCGTTGGCCAAGGCACGCTGTGCGAGTTCAGGCTGGTCTGGGTTCTTGTCAGGGTGCCACCTTGGACGGGTCACCGTCGGAGATGGTCAACCGGGTCCCGGTCGTTGGATGGGTCAGTGCTTTGGGCGGATCTTTTGGAGGCTTCCGGGAAGGGCACCGTACTTGCTCTAAGCTTTCAAAACAAAAGGCAATATAATATTTCTAAGATTTTCTAAGCGACCGAAGCGCAGTATATAGGCACCAAGTGTAGTGTACGCAACGAAGCGCCAACCGCACAAACCCCTACGGCCCTACATCAAGCACATCAAGGGTATAACTATGCTTCTGCACGATCTGCACAACAGGATCAGACCCCAAAGAGGCACCCAGTCAACCACATGGGTGTCCCTCCATGACACGGTTTGAAAAGAGTATATATAGAATGGTATAACATAATGTAAATATGTATAACTGTATAACTGACAACATCCAAGGAACACACAATTGGATACAACCGTGTCTGTAAAATAGGGAAGGCCCAACAGCTGGTACACATGCTGGTACATCTTGATTCGTAAAATTGGTCGTTTGATTCTTGCCATCTTTGTGGCGGTGTTTGTGTCTTCTCTGCCAGAAGGCTCAATCAATACAGTTCATGCACCCCAAACCAAGAGACACATTGGCACTCGGATGTGCAAAAAGACGGCCCATCTAGATTGGTGTAAAGACTTAGAACTCTGATATAAATAGTATGGACTATAATAGTTAGGGTTGCGATTTGAGGATTCCCAAACTCCTCCAATCTTATCCAATGTTTAGGTCCTTTGGTCTAAACAGGCCGCTTTAAACCTTATTAACATGAACAAGAGACAAACAAGCCAAGCCATTCCCTGTTTATATCCGTTTTGGTCCTTCATGGGGTGCCCTGTTTGGCACCGGACGGCGTGGAGCGAAGAAAATGGTCGAATGTGTCTGGACGGATCTCAGCCCTTGCAGGTGCTTTCTTACAATTGCAAGTGCTTTCCTGTGCTTTTCTTATATAATTGCATTTGTATGCATTGGTTGGTTTCTTACTAACATAACGGAGAAACATGATGACTCCGCCTCCGCAGTCCCTGGTGAATCGCGCTGATCTTGTGACATGATGACAAGCAGGTGGGGTGTGTTGAAAGAAGCACTTGGGGTAATCACCACATGACATGTTCCTTTGCGCTTCAAGCCACTTCAGGGCCAACTTCTTGTAGGCGCGCTTGATCTCAGCCTCTGAGGCATCCTGTCTCAAGGCTGACGAGAAGGACTTGGACTGTTCAGAGCTTGATCCGTCACCATGCGTCTTGAGTCATCGTGCATCTCGAACATCAACTATGAGTAGACTTAAGAGAGAAAACCTCTTCTTGGTTTGGATGGAAACAAGTTCTTTTGGGCACTCTATTTACTTGTTGTGGCAACACGTGGATCCCATGTAAAAAAAAAGGCCAAACCGGGACCGTGTCGCTAGCGTCCTTTGAGACGTCAAGGACCTCATAGTAGTCCTGCGGTTCTCGGCCGGACCGTGGCTCTCGGAAGATGGGGAGTGGGGACAGCTCGGGTCACGGTCTTAGACTCGTTGAACCCGTTGGGTTGCTAGCTGCTGTTCTGGTGGGGCGCAGGATGCGCAGCACGTCCATGATGGACACGTGTGTTTTTTTGGGTTTCACTTCTGGCTCACCAGGTGAGGGCAGCATTTGAGGCACTGGTGGAGCTACTCCACACTTGGGACACCAAAAAGAGCAAGCATCGGAAGGCATCACTTCCAGATACTTCCATCATCCTGACACAGTCTGGGAGGTGAGAGGAGCTGCAAATCCTCCAAATGGCTTACGAAACGCCTTTCCACAGCATTTCTTTGCCCTAGCCCCAGTCCTTCTGTTCTTTCCGCGCGTGCAGGAGCAAGAGCGACTGGGCGGAGTGGGCGTTTGCGGAGGGGCTGCTTCGCACCCAAATGAGGACGGTCCCCTCTCGTGTCTGCAGCAATGATGAGTGGTAGCAAGTCGGTCTTCTAGTCATATAGATGACTGTAGAGATTCTAGCACACAAAAGGGCAATGAGTACGCCCTCATGGTCGTCTCTCCAAACCACAAGAAGAAGCCGGATAAACAATCAAACTCCCTGAGATTATCGATTTCACTCACACCCGTCGTCACGACGCATCAAGTAGGACTTCGAAGACAACGACCAATCACATGTCACCCAATTTTGGGAAACAAGTATGGTGACATATAGTCACTATAGTGAGACTATAGTGGCAGTGGTGGCCTGGTCTATCCGACCAGGTGATTCTCCCCTCGGCCCAGCAAATCAGCCGCGCGGCCAAGCAAATCAGCCAAATTCGGGGGCACCTGCTCGAACATGGCAGTGCTCCGGAGAAAAGCAAAGGGAGCAACCCTCGGATGTACTGGGACGTTCAGGTATTTCAGGGAGCGCGCAAATAATTCGCGAAGAAAAAACACATGCACCTACTATTAGCCTAATAACATTAATTGGAGCACAGAACGGGGTCAACCACTCCGTTGGAGTCGACACTGTATATATTACGGGGGATGGATGCATCGCATCATCATCCACAGAATTTCCACATCCTGGAGCTGTGAGAAATCAAACCAACGGCGCGACCAGTTTTCGTTCATTGCCGCACATGGAATCGACATGATGCAGGTGAATTCCAGCCACCAGTGTTTTCATCTTTGGATTCCAGTTGCAACATCAGTCCACCAGTTTCAGAACGTGAACATGGAAGTGGACCTTTTCGATGACCATTTGACAAATACAAAGCAGGTACTAAAGCAGGCGGTTTCCTACAAACAAATATGTCCTTTATTTCAGGAAGTGTACCAATCCCCTCGTTTTTTGCGTTGGGATAAAAGATCCGATAATTTCAGGGGTGATGACCACTGGCCGAGAAACCTAACGACGAGCCGCCAAAGAGAACACAACACAACTCAGCGACTTGAATGGTCAAGGCGATTAGAAAACACCAAAAAAATCATTGAGACTTGTGTATAGCTAGACCATCCAAAGGGTGTTCAATGGAGATCTCTAAGTAGTGTAGGGATGTGTGGGCTAGTCTATTGGACACCCTGTCAGGATGGTCCTGCTACTTCGTTCTGTTTGGTTTATGAACGACGGCGCGACCGGTGGTTTCAACCAGCCGACCGGTCGACTGAGTGGACTGGTCGGGCTCCGCTTGAAGCCGAGCTGGAAGAAAGGAGCATGGGTCAACTCATGTCAACTCTCAACCAGTTAGTACTGTTTGGTAAACCATCCATGTCCAGTTCCCACTTGCCTCTAGGTGATTGGTTCCACGCAAAACTCAGTTGAATTACTACTGTTGGGATGTCGTGCTCCGTCTGCTTTTTCCTCTGGGCACCGGTCACGCTCTTTTGCAACAAGGCCCCCCACCAGCGGGAAGCGGCCATTTGCCATCAGATGGCCCGGCACACACCGACCAGGAAGTGGTTGGGCCACCCAAGCTCTCTGAGAGCTGCTTAGGCTAGCATACATTGCTAGTTTCATTGGCAGCAGTACTGACGTGAGAGTCATCCGACGCTGTTTCTTGATGTGCTCCCCGGAGTTGCATCTCTTGTGTGATCTGCCAGGTAAAAAACCACAAAGGCTGGACCAAGCTCTGCTGGCTTTGTGCCAGTTTGCCATGCTTCTGAAAACACTACTTGGATTCCCTGAAGGTCGCCCGGGACACTTGGACGGTGGTTACGGGTGACCGGTTACACGACGCAATTCTTCTCCGGGGCCGGGCCTTGGAGAAAAAGAATGCAACCATTTTCAGAAGAACCCCCTGAATATCTCTGAACTCTCTGGCATCATTGCTGTTGCACTGACACGGAGCAGCTGACACGGCGGAGTACACGGCACGGATAGAAAATGCCGAGATGAGTGTGATCGATATGCCAAAGCAGGAATTATAGGTGGTCGTACTCCCACGAGCTACAAATGGGTGTGGTGGGTCATGTTGCTGAAGTGAGGTGAAATGTCCTTGTTCTATGGTGAAGTGGTAGGTAATAAGCCAAATTCATCCAAAACGGCGCGCTACTCTCCCTGGAACTAACATGGAAGTGGAGAATGGCTCCTTGGAAGACGACTTTCCTCTACAAACAGATGGTTTTTCACTTCCATGTTAGTTCCAGGGAGTGTAATTGATTTGAATCTGACAGCAAGTCTTGCACGCCGGTCCCGGCGCGACGGCGGGAACAGCGCGGTCTGCGTGCGACGCCACCTTTTGGTCTGGAGAGATGTATTTTCGGCGCGCAGTCAGCATCGCCCCGCGCGGCCTCTGACCCGCGGCCCAGCTGTTCGGATTCCTGGAATACTTGAAATTCAGCTGGACAAGGGGAGGTGCTGCCTCATCGAATTGTTCTCACCAAAATTAGGTCGACACATCCAACGGGTGCGGCTCAAAATCCAAAAGGATTTTGATTCTCCCTTCACCTCTGGAAGAATTTGCTCTAAGTTTAGAGATGTTTGGAGGAGCTTTTTGAGCCACATCCATCCATGATTTGGGTTCAAAGCTGGGGCCTGCGGCAACAACATCCTTTCCTTGAAAAAAGGCAGCACCATCCCGATTGTTTGCCGCTGGAGAGTCTTGAAACTTCAAACAGCTTCAGCTTTTGGGTGGCACAGCTTCTACCGGCCACCCAGCAATTTCATCAAGTCTCATAACGCCGGATCCACAGGCAAAAAACGGATGCTTGGCTTCGGGGTGCTTACTTCAGAGGGCGACCTCAACCACGGACTGCTCAGTCGATGAGTCACGGGGTGAATGCGATGGGTGGTGAAGCGAGATTCGCCTGAGATCCATTGCATGATGTCATGGGTGAGACGATGCAAACCCTGGTGGCCCCGGTTCATGTGCAACACGCCAAAGCGTGCTACGCTGAGTCATACCGTATATACCATTCCAGTCTCCGGGGCCACCAGCTTAATTGAAAAAAGCAAGCCGAAGCGTTTCAGATTCGATCGCGGTAGGCGCCGCCGGTGTCTATTCGCCGTAGGCGAAGGTCCAAGCTGACTTGATCGCAGCTTCGAGTTTGGGCTCCTGAATGCCAGAGTCTCCCAGCAGCTGCATCAGCGTGTCAGCACCCTTCTTGGAGCACTGGCCGACAGCAAGTTCTTCCTCGACTCGGAGACGATGGGACGGTCGACCGGGCTGTCTGCGACCGTTGGTCTTGGTTGGCCTGGCCCGGGGGGGTGGCTCCGTTGGATTAGTCACCTGGCTGGTGGCTTTCCAGACCCGACGGAAGAGGCAGCCACATGGGACCCACCACGGAAGAGCTCAAAGGGAGTGAAGTAGGTGAAAGTCGGTGGCTCCACTGAATCCACCATCGTACACCTATAGTTCTTCAGTTCGGTTCACCGAACTTGATTTTGTTTTGAGGTCCACGTTTTTTTGGGGTTGACACTCACCAAACACGGAGACTCTTGCCAATTCTCCGCTGAAGGGAAACATGTCCACTCATGATCCATCAGCCAAGCTAAACGAATGAAGGCGAAGCGACAATGTTCAAATGTCTTAATGCATTTGTCTCGATCCGACCGATGAGTTTGCTCAATATCCGACTCAACAAGCTCCCAAGCTCCCAAGCCATCTCATTCTCACATCATGTTCCACTGCCTTTCACTTTCACCACCAAGAGAGGTTAAGTGACCTTATAACACCCTACTCAAGTACCTTAATGAAATAGTAAATAGTATAAACAAAGAGTTCTTCAACCTCTGTTGGCATCTCTCCTCCTCACCCATCTCACCCATCTCACCGTCCAAAGGACTGCCGCCTTTTCCAGCAGGTTGGCGAGCTCCGCGCGCGCGTCCGCATGCACCGCCGCCGTCTTAATGGCCTCAATGGATTCCACCATAGCCTCAGCGGGGGGGCGTAGGAAGCATGCTGAGCTCTGCCGACCACCTCGAAGCCTTGGGCTCTGAGGGGGGGGGGAACCCTTTTCCCGGCGTGAGCGAAGCGGTTTGGTCCGACTGAACCACCAACCAGGACCAGGAGGCCTTGCTTGACCTACCGACGAGACTTGATCATCGATCCAAAACGCTTCCCAAAAGGCCCTTCATCGTGGGTACCTGGGTACCTGGGAGTAGGGGAAGTAGCTAATGAGCATGGATGTTGTACCCATTCATTGCCATGTGAAGGCCACAGGGCCTGGAAGGTCTTGCGCGGCAAATGGTGGACAGGTCGGGCTCCAAAAAAAAAAAAACTCCCCACCATCCTCTTGCGCTTTGTTTGTTCGTTCCGCTTTCGACCAAGCAGCTGCACCCAACAGATCATGACCTTGGTTCTTCTCCAAGCACACGTCCAAGGCTTCCACGGCGGCCGGCAAGTTGCTTGTGTGGCTCTGCACAGCAAACCTCAGAGCGTTGAAACGGGGGACTGAGAGAGGACTGGTGACTCTAAGAGTCCACCAGAGGTCCTGGGTGAAGGGGACCAGTGCGGTGAGAGGTCCTTGACTCAGCGTGGACCACTGGATCATCGGGCCCTCTCGTCGGCCGGTCTGACCACAGGAACAGTCTGAGGAATAAATGTCCCTTGGCTGGAGCTACAGTTTTGTCTACATAGGTGTGTGATGAATAGGGGGAATCCCCCCGGCCCCCTAAGAAGAGCAAACATAGACCGTATAAAGTCAACACACATCCACATGGAAGCCAAGTTCTGAAGAAACCTGCTTCTTGCGAGGTGGGCGTCCTGAGACTGTGTTCAATCAGCCTGCAGCAAACATTATGCAAGATTCGGTCCATAGTTGGCGCCCGGCCCCTCAAAACAAGAAGCAACTGTCCATAGAAGTCACAGTGCTTGCGTGTTTGGAGCGCTTTGAAGCCTTTAAGGCTTTATGATTACATAAAGCTGACACTTAACATTACCATTTCCCCTTTTTCCTGACGCATCGTTTTGATTGCTTTTCCTCTGTTTTCTGGGTTTTCCCATCCTCTCTCCTGTCTTGTTTCCGCCAGTGCGCTCCAACTTGGATTGTATCATCGCAGCGGTGCCCTGATGCTTCTCACCACGTTGCAAACCTGGGCGGCGTTGTTCAGATGGCGGCCCGGCGCGGCGTTTTTCAGATGGTGTCCACCGGTGGAAGGATAGATCGAACAACGCTTTCAGAAGGTGTGATCGAAGATCCGTATACGGTCCGTTGAACTAACCAAACGATGCTCATCCAAGTGGTCAGCAAGACTCCTTACCAACTAGCCCATTTCTGTGATAACTGTCCCCGAGGTCTACATCGAATGCTTCTCAGTCGCCTAGGCAGCGGTATCAGTGTGAAACCATGTCCAAGCTGTGTGACCATAGCCAAGGAAAAGGGTTTCCTGACCGGCGACCCGCTGCTGAAATATGTTTCGTTACAGGGGGGGACAACCCAAAACAGTGCAACTCAAACACATCCCTGATCATCCCTGAGTGTCCAACCTTAATATCTCTGCATCTGCAGGGGCAGCCAAATGCTTTGCTCCAGGTTTTTCTGCGCAAACAGGGTATATATAGCAAAACCCAAACTCTTCTTGGGAGGGAAATTGACTTAGGAGAAGACTCTCTCAACAGCTCAAAATGAATCCATCTTCAGGAAGACGAAGCACTCAAGCTTTGCCAAATCATCTTCTGCACATTGAACTCCGCCTCTGCCTGGCGCGATCTGCACTTCCTGACCCCATGCACCGGCTCTGGAAAGATTCAAAGACCATCATCACCCCTACCCTCCGACTCACTATAACCGGCAAGGACCCTGAGGATGAGGATGTTTCTTAACAGGGTGGGCCATCCACGTAGAAACAACGAAGGTGAGTGGGAGTGCATCTCGACTCCTGCTCATGCTCCATGAAAGTGAGCTTGGCACTCCGAAGAAGGTGTTTACTTGCAAGGACTTTGATGCTAGTGAGTTGAAGTTGGAGTGCATAGCTGTTCGAGAAAACCAAAGTGTGGTAACAAAAAGAACGCTAAAAGGAAGAAACACATCAAGAAATAAATAAAGAAAGAATAACCAACCAACCAACCCACCAAATAGGAAAGCACCGCACTTATCACCCCTATATATCTGTTGGTGGGTCGCCGTCTCGCCCCGTCTGGACATCGTCCGTGTCCCCCGTCTCCATGGGGGGCCTTCTTCCAAACATCAGACTGCTCTTTCGCCATGCGATTTCGTAGAGCCCGGGCACAGGTCTGGAGCTTCTTCTGTGCATCTTGCATGCGATTCTTGCCACTGGTCTCCTTGGAGGGGGTCTTGGCCGGAGCCGTCTCCTGGCACGCCAAAAGCGGTGAGCAACCGGGTGGAGGCCTCCAAGGGGGTGACCAATATGGACTCCCCTGCATGGCTGTCTGGATCTCCAAACACACCGGTGTCTCCCAGAGTCGCCATGGCGCCATGAGAGTCGCCATGGCGCTCCAGGAGCAGGTGAAAGCCATTTCGGAGTCACCCAGTGGCCCAGGGTGAAAGGAATTCATCAGTACTTTACCATCCATATTCATCTAAAATTCAGGGTAAAACCATGGAGTGATGGCATGTGCTGCTAAAATGAAGTCGAGGAGTTGTGTGTCCTGGTACCGAAGCTGCTCAAGTGAAAGGACGAAAGCTGGGAACTTGAGTCCTCCTATAAGCAGCTGAATGCCTGCTTCTGCAGCGATGGAAGAAAACCTGTCCTTGCCCGGGTTGGGCGCTGGCACCGTGCTGATGGGCACCACGTCGTTTTCGGCCGTGGCTTCCTTGGGATGCTGGGCTGTGAACTCACGTTGGGCTGCCCCTTCTTCAAACCGCTAGCCCAAGAGGCGCGATGTGCTGCAGATCGAGCTTTTTCGTGTGTCAACATGTGTCAACAATGCGGTGGAGATCTAACAACAAAACACGAACTCTTCAATTGATGTAGACTCTTGATGACTCTAAATGTTATATTCATTCACCCCCCATATGAAAAGGTCTTACAATCCTATTTGTTTATGACTCAAGAGTCTACATTCACCTCGGACTTCAGAGCTGACTCCACCAAGCTTCAGTGGTCTGATCAGCCTCATCGCTGCAGTGACATCCGAGAACACTGCCCATGGGAACAAACGGACCGGTTAGACCGACCCAGCGAAACTGATGCAACAACGAGCGGGGTCGTCCAAAGCGCGGCTGTTTGAGCCAACGTCCGAAACGGGAAGGGCGACTCGTGTCCATTGGCCCCATCGTTCTTCGTGGCCTGAAACAGGCGGAGAGATGGGATCCGATCGGAGGTCCAAGATGCTGTGTCCATTCTTGGCCAACGGATGTTACCATGAAACAATGTGTTCAGATGTCTTCCGGAGTTATACGGAGTTGGCTCCTGTCTGTTCGATTTGCATCCTTGAAGAATGGACGTACTGTGAACAACCACCATGGATTGGATTGACATCCACTAACTAAAATCCACGAGCAAACGCCGAGTTCTCAGTATCACCCCAGTGGCGCCATAAATTCCAATTTGTCATGTCAAGCAACACCAAACATGGAGATGTCACAACAGCTGGCAGGCCAGCAGCTGGGTTCGCCGCTGTCCGACAGTGAAAATCACCTCTCAACCACCTCCAGGTACACAGCTGGGTTCGCCAGTTTCTGCAGCACCTTTTCCTCCACCACCCTTTCGAGGCGCCCAGACTTCAAGCGCCCAAACGAAACGGGTGAAAACGGGTGAAACGCTCCTCGTCATGGGACGCATGAAATGCATGCCCGGCCGCTCTGCACCAAAAAAGCCCGTCCCTGTTTTTTGTATTTTTGGGACCAGGGATTTCATTGTAGTGATTTGTATATAGTTTACATAAATTGGTTTATATGATGCTGCAACCATCCAAGATTGAAAACACTTCAGAGACAACCTGCAACAAATTGTACACCAGCAGGCCCCTCGCTTCTCCCACAAAGGATCTCTCAAGAACGCGCCAGCGCTGGCGCACATGACTGAATTCCATGCCTCTGTGGCGTCTGCGCTGCGGACCAGGGCAAATGGGACACATTCAATTTCACAGTCAAACGTTCCAAGGATTCTGTTTGAGCACATCAATCAGGAGTGGTTAAGTAAGACCTTAAACAGTCTCAAGGTCTGCATTTATATAGATGCGGGGCCCTACCACATGGGCCCTTCATAGAGTGGACGGCGGTTCCTCCAACAAAATGCTTGGGCTTATCTACTGTCTTAGTCTTGGGGGGCGAGGGAACCTATATAATATATATGTAGAGTACCTATATATATATGTAGAGTATATACTATGATATGATATTATCGTTAAATGCGTAAGTATTTTATTAATATACAATTAAATGTTACAAAATATGTATACCGTATACCTAATTGTACCTACATCGTCCTTTGTATGTTTATTGGTTGTTTCAAACACAACATGGTTCTTGGGGCAAGCGGCGGGAATTTCTGTAGTGCAGCACTTATTGAATGTTTGATAGAATGGGGGAAATGACCACTTCACCCAAAAGAAGCACAAGAAACGAAACGGCGCAAAACGGCACAGAAACTGCGATTTGTTTGCACATCTTTTTGTCGCACTACTGAAGGTCCAAAGTGGCAGCCAAACTCATGAAGCAGCAGCTTTTCCAGAAAACAACCAAAACTACATCAAGCGACAGTTGTATAGTTGAGTTTCACAAAACTTATACTTAACAAAAACAAATGTATGAACATATGGGGTGTGCATTTTTATAGGGAGACCCCCCAACCAATTCGTTTTGGTTCATTTTTCTTCTTCCAGGGGGTCTTCGGGAGGTGTCCCTACTGTCATGCACACACATATGAAGACATCCAGGAAGAGCAACAGTTCAACTGACTGGAAAGAATGATCTTGAAGGGAAGCTGAAGCGCTTTGGCGCTCAACCATTGGGTTCATGATGTTCATGCAAAAGTCGAAACTGACCTCGTTGCGTGACGCCAAATGGCGGCTGCAAATCAGCACCATTGAAAGCGATGAGAGCGGCTGCACAAAAGCAAGGCCCAGGACAGAAAACAATCACATAGCAGCAGCAGCACAGCGGGGCAGCGGCAGTCAAAACCCGCCGTGCAGGCCCGGTGAAAGCCTGAACACCTGTCTAATTGCTCATTTTTTGACAGCCTCCAACTTTTCCATGGCACGTGGGAACTTTTTGTTTGTCTTCTCCACCTGTTGGCAACTTGGTTCGTTGGTCATACTCGAGCCTTGTACTGGTTGTTCTTTTCCTGCTATGAATGCGTGGCCGCTTTTGTTCCATTGCCGGCCAGCTGTGCTGATTGTTGGGAAAGGTCGCGCCTGAGCCCACCAAGCTCCCTGTTGACCATTGCTCCCTTTGTACTCCTTCCACATTCAAACAGAAACTAGGCCTTTGAATTGGGTTTTGTGGTTCCGTCCTTACCTCCCAACTTCTCTTCCAGGCTGAGCTTGTCCAGCCCATCGTCCAGCCCTTCTTGACAATCTTTGCCAATTTTGGGACCCAAACACTGGGCCACTCCAGCCGCAAGCTTCTGTCATATCGTCATATCGCCACGCAAAGCGAGAACGAACATCAAAAAAACAGGAAGCCACAATGCAGAACACAACGAGAAGACCGAAAGTAGGAGGGTGTTCCAAGCACGAACGCCAGTTTTGCAAGCCAATCATCTGAAGCTGCAAGCAGCAAGAAAGAGGGCTTTCAGAGCAAGCACCAGTAAAGCAAAAGAAGAAGCAAACGGTTCAAAACAAAACATAACAAAACAACCTGTGAACGGCAGGCACAATGGAAGCGAATCATTTGCGAAGCAAAGCCTTTGCCCCTGCCCAAACATCAGCTCCAAACCAAAAAAAATAAGCACGTAACCCCGTAACCGCACCTTTGTCTAAACCAACCTTGGTCAACCCCCTTATTATCTTTAAACGACATCAGGCAAAATTGAGCCAAGACTTTCTTTGATGTTCAATCTTGTAGAGTATTGATTGAATGGTATGGTTAACGATGTTTCAAGCGGCGCGATTGACCTTCTTTCTTTCGTGGATCCATGACACCGCCAGCAACCATTAAGCATCATAACCAGCTGGACATGTTTCCATTCTTGGGGTGTCCTTCCCTCCAATGTCATCTAAAATTTGGGTGGGGATCACATGAATCTTCAGATTTGCCCGTCTCCCCTGGCCCTCTCTGTACATCACAGCCGGCCACGCGATCGGCTTCACCAGCCAGTTCATGACCAGGGTTCTCTCAAGCCCTTCTCGGAGAGTATCTTGCAAAAGCACTGCTCAACTCTAGAACACTGGAATAAGAGGCCAAAACGATCCTTATTACCTCAGTTGATGTGTTTGTTTTCTTACCGACTGCGTGGCCAGTGACACACTGGACAATCATGGAGCACAAACAACATTAATATATATATATATACATTAATAATATCCTATACCTGGACCATTCTGTCTGGGTGTCCTGGAGATCCTACACGTAGTGTAGGGTAGTCTATTGAACACCCCGACAGGATGGTCCTGGTATATAGTGATTTATTCAAGTACACTGGGGAAGCGGTCCACATGGAACCTGAAAACCGCGTCGGTTGTAATTAGAGAAAAATCGTATTCCAAAGGTTCATTTTCAGGTTTCATGTTAGTTTTCGGGAGTGTAACCAGATCAGTGAGCTGGGTGGCTCTTCGCAAAATACACTCCACGATCCTCCCGTATCGGTCCTCTCTCCGTCGACGGATCTGGGCCAGAAAGACCACTGGACACATTGGGAATCTGGTGAAGAACTACACTCTGACTCACTAACATGGAAGTGGAAAATGGCCTCTTGGAAGAGTACTTTCCTTTACAAACAGTGGGTTTTCCATTTCCATGTTAGTGAGTCGGAGTGTACGTACATAATCGTACATAACATAAACAAGTACCAGCACCTTGCAGCCGTGCTCTTTGGCTTGCGCGAGCGTAAAATCGATGAACATCGTTCCAAACGAGTGGTGCGAGAGGGTGTGCGTGAGTCTTTCTGTTTTTCCTCACGTGACCTTTAAAGCTCACAAAGTGAACTTCACAAACTGAAGGTGCTGGTTCATTCAGAAGTCAGAAGTTGCTCTTGTCCACCTCCAGTGACCCAACCATGTGGACCTCCTCGCAAGCAAAGTGCCTCAGGTGTGGACGGGCATGGTGTCGCAGGTCCGGGGGATCCAATGCTCGACAGTCCATCGAAAGACAGTCACGAAGTCGGCGGGACCTCGGGGACACATCGGCCGTTCCACTCATCCCGGCCACTCCTGCTCACCAACCCACTGAACAGGGAGAAAAGACTTCGCCCAAACATCTATGATGGCATATGGCCTCAGAGTGGCCCCTGTGAGCACCTCCTGTGTTCCCAGCTCCGATGCGCCGACTGCACCACCCCCGGCCACCCGTCTCGTCGCATGCGCCACGTCTCGTCACACGTTGGGTCCCTGTGTTCACCAGGGTTCCCCAACCGAGGAGCCCAACCAATGGTCGACCAGACCAGTCAAGGTCGAAAGTGTATCTCCTCTAGATCTTAAGCATAAAAATAGTCAAACCTGTCAGCTGTCAGTGAAAAAGATCTGTCAGATAGGTCCACTTCGGACAAAAGAAAGTCTATTAGACACCGGTCCTTAACTACTACCGTAAGAACCCCTAGTGTAACCACACTGTTCGGGGAATAACTCTGACATCGCTTCTGTCTGTTGAGGGGCCCTTGGATTAAAAGCTTGGATTCAAAGAACCTCTGCTTGGCTGCAGTACACCGACTCAATCGCTCAAATGCTCTTAGTACCTTGGGGCCTGGATCATGTAGACTTCTCAATCAAATGGGAGTCTCAGTGACATGGGGGCTGATGTCATCCTTGCAATGTGACTCATTCAACAACAAGTTGAAGCTGCCACAAAACAATCCCCTCTGGACAGGAGCTATCGTCCAGCTGGGACAGATGATTCTGAACCCTGAGACCCTGGCTGCTGGGCACCCCACTCTGCGCGAGTGCGTGAGAGGAAGCCCTTTGCAGCCACCATGGAGTCACTCAATTCATCCCTGGCGGAGGTCGCAAATCCACCAGTTCGTCATCACACTGGAAATGAAAACAGGTTGCTCGACTTTGGGCCGAATTCTGTTGAAATCAGTCTTCGGAACACGGTCGAACCAGCTTGGCAGGATCTTCCATCCCGAAAAGGTACATGTTCACGCGTGGCCGCGATCCAGCGAGGTCGAAGGATTCACCTAGGGGCCAGGTCCAAATGTACATACCCATGGCCCATGCATCGACTCCAAACCCTTGACTTCCCAGGGGCTCGTTCTTGTTCTTTTTCCCGAATGCGTAGCGAAGG